GCGAGCTGCAAGTTCTTGTAGACGTTCCAGCGGCTGGAGGAGAGAACCTTGTGGGAAAGCTCGACGCCAGAACGGAGCATCTCGGAGATGCGATCGAGCTGGGATTGGCGGACGGCGGAGAGCTCAACGCCGGAGTATTTGATTTCTTCGATGATGGGGAGCAGTTGCTTGATGTTGGTGTGGAGCTGGTCGGCACTTGATTTGCAGAGAAGTGACTTGCGAGATATGTCTATGAGCAGTTTCATGAGTTCTGTGGCGATTTCGCCCGCGAAGAAGTCCGTCACTGCCATTCTCTTCCAACGCCACTCCGACTTCTTGCCTTCTTCTGTCCCAAACCCCCTCCGGTTATCACCTCTCTTCTCCTTTTATGCCAATCCTGTTGCTATCTAATATTCTAATCTGAACCATCTGCTTCGCTCGAAACTGCAACACTTCCCTGTTTTACTTTAATTCTTCTCAGTGGATTGATCGAGTACGTTGTTTTAAAAAAAAATGATGAAAATTTTTTGCATGGTTTCGTGAAATTTCTTTGAAGAATATTTTTGGAAAAATCTACCTGGTTTACCGATGTAAACAGTGGACTTTGTTAGGCATGAAAGATGGCAAATAAGTGAAATAACTCGTTACGCTGTTCGGTTGTGGGGAATATAAATCGAAGATGTTGCGTAAAGAATCGTAAATAGCATAATTTTTCTCAGTAAAAATTACGATTAGCTCTTAAAAAAATTAATTACTTTAATATTTATTTTGTAGTAATTGTTTTCACATTCCTCAATAAAATCTAAATAAATGAATATCAAGTAGATAACTAGTTTGAGAATTTAGCTATTTATAATAAATAGAAGTTGATTTTTTTGAACTGTCATTTTTAATTATATGTATTGAAATTACTCATTATTGAGAACTTTCTTAACATGTATAATTAATGAGTTTATTTTGAGAGAGAAAATTATAGTAGTAAAATATCGAATTATGGGTATTGACTGTCCACGCAACACAAATTGATAAGTATAAAATATTTATCGTCATTTAATACTCAAACAACATATATAAATTTACAAGTAAAATAATAGTATTTATTATTGATGATTACAAATAATAAAAAATTTATGAATTTGGTCTTTACGCATATTTTTTTTCGAGAAGAAAGAAAGCAACGTCAATTCAATTAATTTGTATTAAATCCAAATGAAGATGATGATACTATAGAGGATGCAATTTTACCGCGGCTAATATGTTTTGTCTTGTAGATAGGCTCGCTCGTGTACTGCGGCTGAGGATGTTTTGTTACCTTCAACTCCTAAGTCCTGAAGCTTTCTCCCGGACCTGGGAGTGTGACTAAAAAAAAATTACAGCCAACAATCTTTAAACGGGAAACGTGAATACTCTAAGAGTCTGTTTGGTTAAACGGTAGGATCTCAAATAAGTCCGTTTAAATTTAAATAAGTGTTTATGAAACATGTTTAAGGTGTTTGGATAATTTTTATAAAATTTTGATGAATCGTGATTTTAACTTTCCACCACACTTTTAGGATAAGTAACAAGAAGTAGCTTATGCGTTTGAAAAACCCCGATGAATCTTCAGTAACTAAATTTTCTCTAATCTACCCCTCATTCTAATGGTAATTATTTTAATTTTTTTTAAATACAATATGAAACTGTTTTTCTAACATAAGTTCAAATAGTCATTGCAACCATGGCTATCCACAATTTTATTAGAAGGCATACTGAGACTGATTTTAAATTTAGTCAGTATGAAAATGAAAATATTCTCAAAGGTAATTATGATGATCATGTTGTTTCATATCCATCACTAAGTGCCAACGTAGTTTCCTCATCAGAAATGGATTGACTTCGAGACTCAATTTGAGATCAAATTCTGCAATACAGGGAAAATAATTAACTGTCATTTTTATTAATTAGTTTTGTTGTTCAAATTTATTTCTTAGTTATAATTTTGACTGAACATTCAATATCCTTATTGATGTTACTAAAATTGCTAATCAATTTTTTTTTTTTATATTTTCATTCATCTCTTATTTATATGGGGTCTTTTATTTAATATTTGCACTACACATAAATTTTGTACGTGATTTTAAATAATAATTTTAAAAGAAAAATAATATTTAAATATTCATGTCATTTATTAAACTATATTTAATAAAATTTATTATTAAATATAATAATTATGAAAACGTAAACAACTTTATTAACTTCATGTCTTTTTTAGTAATTATACACCCATAAGTGATTTTAATAAACAAAAACCAAACATAATCACAATTCTTAAAATCACTTATAAAAAAAAATCCAAACAGAAATAACGATTAACTAGTATCACTTATAAAATTTACGATTATCTAAAATCACAGTTGTTCACCGCTAATCTAAATGGGCACTAAGAATTTTGTTTGGCTTTGATTTCCAGAAAAAATAATTATTTATTAATTAATTTTATGAACAGACTCATCATTATAAATTTTAAGTTTTTTAAAATTTTACGTCTCAATATCCTGTTTGTTAATCTGTTGGTGTCAAACCATTAACGTTGAAACTAATGATTATAATTAGAAATTCGTACGGCGACGCATAGTTGTGGCGGATAAGTCGCTAATGGGATTACGATTTTTCACCAATTTGAGGGCGCACGCCCAATTGTAGCAGGTGAAAACCCACTTGGGCGGTAAAAAGCCTTTATTCCAAACAACAGACAAGAAACATACCAGCGAAGGGCTGCATAACAGAACAAGGGGAGGAGCAGAGCTGACCATCTAAAAATACATCAGAAAGGAGTTAAAGTTCGCAGAGATTGAATTATTAAATTGGGATTTTATCCGGCGATTTGTTATTTAATTCGAAGAAATCCCCAGGATGATTATGCTGATTAGTAATTCCAGAGGTACGGATGGAACCAATTGTTTACGGTAGGGTTGAGGCCTCTCACCCAGTGACTTGAGTCGGAGCAGCGGATAAATATGATTGAGTGACTAAAGGAGCAGGCAAGACATTAAACATTAAACATTGAAGCATAAAAAATGGGAGAAAATAATGGTAGGAGCATCACTGTATATCTACGTTATCTTGGGAGCTTGGGCGAGGTCAAGGCCGAGGGTGTTGACTCTTGGAATGACCAGTTTACCCCGCCAGCCATGGAATAATACGAAAAGAAAAATAATAATAATAATATTATTATTATTATGATGGAGACGAATGAGAATGACAAGATGACGATGGTCCCACTTAGTTAGAAATGAGGGGCGGTGTTGGTGGCAGACAGATGCGATGCACATTCGCACATGCACTGCTCTTGACCTAAACCAGTCATGGTCTGCGCATCAAAAATTAGGAATTCACATTTCACAGCACAAGCAAAGCTGATAACGTAAATCATAATCGAAAGGGACAAGGCCCCGAGCCTGAGTGTGCCTTTTGTTTCATTAAACGAAGCTGGCACGTATTTGACTCCACTTTCCCCTTTCCATCATTTTAGGCCGCTGTCGTTTTTTCACTTGTTAACTTTCACAGCATCACTCCCCCAGGTATTAAAAAAATAAATCTTAATTTACCGTATATGATTGCCGTCTAACTCTAGCCAATGCTTTTCCGGCAACCCTAAAGACTCTTTCTCCGTCACTATTGAGTAGAATCAACTCAAGGGCCAAATAAAGTACGAGTGAGATGGTAGTAGAGATTTTAAGTAGAATTACAAAGCACAGTATTACTAACAAACTATTTATTGAACTGATAAGCGGTGTCATTTTTATAAGGAAGAAAATACAAGTTTGAATCTTGAAAAAAAAATTTGTTAGAAGAGTTTTAACTTTAGCACTCCTAATTTGATAAAGATTAGTCTCAACCTCAAAGTAATCTGAGGATACTCTGAGTGATAAAAAAAAACGCATTAGTGTTGGGGATGGTAATTAGCTCGCTTTGTTGTGAGGGTGACGCTGGGCTCCAACGCTAGTCTTAGTCTCCTTAATAATTAGCGGGCCCAGTGTTCGCTGAGCTAGGCCCGTTGGCCTCAAACATTTATGGGCAAGGAAACTTGCTATTTCGACTTGTTGCCACCTACACACACACTGACGCGCGCACACACATTTTCGACAGTGTCGTTTTTAGAAACATCACTCTTTCCTTGACGAAAGTTTGATTTTCCTTCCCTTTTTTTTTTTTGGGTTAATGCACAGATAAATTTTCAATTTAATAATCCATCCAATCCCAAACATCTATGTAAGGGATTTACTTTTAAAAAAAAGATAAATACACAATTTTTAATGAAAGATAAAGGTAATTTTTTTTTCTTGCTCGTGTGTATCATATTAAAAACAATTATATTTCAAGCATAATATGGCACTTACTGTGAGATGTATTCCAGCAAAATTCTCAGCAGACCCTTTTTTTTGGGGGGAGGTTTGACGGAAAGCACACACAATATGATAAAAGATTTCTATGGCCAAAAAAATGTCACTCCTTGAGTCCTCGTCCCTCTTCAACACATGACCTGTGAAATTCGTCTTGATTCTAGATGTAGATTTTATTTTTTATATGATTTTTTAAAATTATTAATACTCTTCTGATAATAATTAAGTATGAGAAAGATGAAAGGTATTAAAAAAAGATAATTAAAGATTTAGATTAGTGATAGGCGGCATAACCCGAGAGATGCGGCCGTTAACTTCCTCCCGCCCCGCGTTCCCCCTCGCGGCGTCACCAACTCACTGTGTTATATTTGTAGAACCTGAGTCTAAAGAAGCAGCAGGGTCAACCTACTAATGACCTCCTTTGTCAACCCGGTGACATATTCTCTCTCTATCCTTCTGTAATAATCACTTAATTAGTACTGATTCATGTAATAATCACGCAGCAAGGGTCTTCGTTTCAAGTTGGTGGCCCCGGGGCCTTCCTCTTCCTCCTCCTCCTACCTCCGTGGGTCACGTATTATTTATATTGACATTAATGTGAAACGCCGGGTCGTGTTTCTGACTCCAAGCCGTCCAAGGAAACCCCTCGCTGATGAGATAAGGTGTGGAGTTAGGCTTTGAGATGCGATTGTCAAGACTCGGCTCCTCAAGCAAAACCCCTCAAAAGTCATTACTGTTGACTATAAAATATTCAATTATTCAAGACACGGCCATGTTGAATTGGAAATTATAGACGCTTACCAGTTGGCCAAGAAATAGCTGAGGTGTTTCCCTTCCGGTCCTGCCTCTCCCTGCCATGGCCTCGACCTGGCAATCTCTTGCTTTTGCTTCCGCTTTTCTATGACGACTTCCACCATTCATGCCAGTTCCCAACTTCATCAAATGCCTTTGTCTCGCAAATCATCATCTTCTCCCTCTCCTATACCCTCCCCGTCTTCATCTATTTCTCCTTTAGCCCTTAAACAGACTGACGTCGATGCCGCTGCCAATGCCGCTAGTCTCGTTCAAAGCACGGAGCAATCAACTCCCCACCACCGCCGCCTTACTCGAGCCAGGAGGCTTCGCCACCTCACCGACCATGATGTTGGCTTGCACCTCACCGACGATTCTTCGCTCATGGCTTCCCCTCCTTCCTCCCGCAAGTCTCGCTCGTCGGGTGGTTGTGAACACTGGTCCTCCTCCGCTGTGCCTCAACCCCTGCCGCTTCCCGAATCACCGTTGACTCGCCGACCGGAGTCTGCCGGTCCTAATCCCGGACAGCTCCACCTTGGGTCTCCTTCCGTAGACCATTCGGGATTTGCTTTCGGGAGGTAACAATCACTCATAGTTATTATCTTGCACGGCTCTCCTAGATGATCATTAATTCTTCTTCAATGCGTAGAGTTCTCCTGGACGATCATCTAATTCTTCTTCTATACCTCGAGTGAGTTATGCGCGAAGAAGGTGAAATTTGCGTACGAACTAGGAAGTAGACACGGATATCTGAAACTTGAAAGTAAACAGATTGGCTTTGTCTGGTTACTCTGATCAAATTTCTGAGCCACTTATTTTATGAAACTAAATTTTTCAACATTTACTTGGTTTAATTTTAAGCGAAGATAATATTACTGTGTACCATCTGTACAATGTTCTACTTCTTATCATTCGCGATCAATGGGATTAACTTCTAGTTCTGCATGGATTGATGCATTAATTAGTCAACATGCTGATTCTTTGCGGTACATTTTCTTTCCTTTCAATTCAAAATCACCAGGAAGACGGTGGATCACGATGCATTCAAAAACATGAAGCGTTGGAGCACTATGGATAGACCTTGTGATCCAACCACTGCAAACGCAAAGTTTAATTTAAGAGTAAACATCCCAGTTGCACCTTTTTTGACAGGTACTTTCTCCACTCCTGTTGCATTTCAAATTGTTGAACATGGAAGATCATTTTCCTTCTCATGTTGCTGCTAACGCAGGTCATAGTTCGTGTCGAGATAGAGCAATCTCTCATGATACTGACTCTGAAAGTATATATGACTCAAGATTGTGTGTGGCCGCAAAGAGTGCCCCAACAAGTGTTTTTTCCAGTCCTGTTGCTAGTCCACGGAGATCAAGCAATGTTGATTTCACTGATCATTTCTTTAGTACTCAAGAATTTCATGACAACGCTGTTGGCCATCCTTCAAAAGTGTCACCACACTTGAATGTTCAAAGTCCAGATCACTCTTCTCTCCGTAGCCCAGGGCGCCATAGCCCTTTCCTCAATCTCAAAATCCAAGATGGACCTCAGCATAGATTTCATTCCAGGGCGTGGCTAGAAAATAACCATGTTGACGCACACCCATTGCCTCTCCCTCTTCCTCCGGGATCCTCACCACCGGCACAATCATCTGTGCAGTGTCAATCAAGTGCCACGCATCACTCATTTGAAAGCCAATTTTTGGTGAAAGGTCAATGGCAGAAAGTAAAACTTATTGGACGGGGCACTTTTGGGAGTGTTTATCATGCAACAAACCTGTATGTGATTTGTTCGATTATCATGTTTGCTATTGTCTACTAATTGGTTCTCATTTGCTTTAGATTAAATTTTTGTTTACTCATGTGTTTTCTCATTCACCTAAAAGAGAGACCGGTGCTTCATGTGCAATGAAGGAGGTGGATCTCATTCCAGATGACCCTAACTCTGCCAACTGTATAAAGCAACTAGAGCAGGTTATTCTCCACATCTTCTAATTTACTTTGTACAGAAACATGACTCCTCTTACCGGAGAAAATAATTATGACACAACTTTAGTTGTTCTGGCTGCCAATCGACATCTATTGAAATCAACAATCATATTGAATATCAACTATTCCCAGAGCTTAAGTGTTACTAAACTCCTCCTCATCTGAAACACAGACCTATATTACTTTGTGTTGATATTTAATTTATTTAGCTTTAGCCCAGAATTTGTTTTCTAAGTAGTGTAGGAGCTAAATAATTGCAATCAATTGCGCTGTTGATAGAGTTTATGTGGAAGTTTGAATTCTTTTAATTTTTTGCTTCTCTGTGCCATAAAATCTTTAGCACTTCCCCACAGGAAGGTATTTAAGCCGCCGGTTTATTTCTTTTTGTTTCAGGAAGTCAAGATTCTTCGTCAACTACACCATCCAAATATTGTGCAGTATTATGGCAGTGAAATAGTGGGTTATTGATTGGATTTTTTTTTTCACATATACTAATATAGCCTTATTAAAGCTTGAGGGCCTTTGCGATTGGAATTAGATGTAATTTTTTTAATAACTTTTTGTTTACAGGTTGGTGATCACTTGTGCATATATATGGAGTATGTTCATCCAGGGTCGGTTGATAAATTTGTTCGGGCGAATGGTGAAGCGATGACAGAGTCTGTAGTTCGCAATTTCACACGGCATATTCTCTCAGGGCTGGCATACTTGCATAGCACCAAAACTATCCACAGGTGACTGTAATGCTTGATGGAAGGAATTAGCATACTTGATTTAAACTCTGTAAATGGTCACCAATTTGTTCCTGAGATCTATTATTTGACACAAGGAACTCGCTAATTCTGGGGGAAACAGTAAAATCTAACTCTGAACTATATCATGTGTTTGTGGAATGATTATACACTTCCATAAAAAAATCTAACTCTTTAAGAATCTATCACACACACACTATGTGGAATTCGTTCTCTTGTTTAGTGTGGCCAGTTTCCTGGAAAAGGGCACTCTTCTGTTTGGATTTCTCAACAATAAGAGTTTATTTGGCTTTTCTGTATTTTGCTGATGTTAATAGAATGTATGGTTTTTCTCCTTAGGGACATCAAAGGAGCAAACTTACTTGTTGATGCATCAGGCACTGTCAAGCTTGCTGATTTTGGCATGGCAAAAGTTGTGAGTGTTCTAGACTTCTGAACTCATTTTAACAATGTGCTCACGTGCACACATGCAGTTGTTAGATGGGCAGATAGATGGTTTGTCAACAACAACAACGACGACAAAGCCTTATTCCACTAGGAGGGTCAGCTACATGGATTGTATGATGCCATTAAGTTCTATCCAAAGCCAAATCTTTGGATATATTATTAATTAAAAGATCTTGTTCAATAATTTCATTAAGTGTTCTCTTTGACCTTCCTCTACTTATTTTTGGAGGACTCCATACTGTTTTATCAACTCTTTTCACCAACACATCCAAAGGCTTTCTGTGCACAGGACCAAACCATCTCAAACGGTCTTATACCATTTTTTCATCAATAGCAGCCACCCCAACTTTTTTGCGTATATGTTCATTTCAAATCCTATCTCTTCTTATATGACCACATATCCATCTCAGCATTTTCATCTCAGCTACTGCCACTTTATGTTCATGTTATCCCTTTAAAGCCAAACACTCACTACCATGTAGTATTGCTGATCTTAGCGATAAAACTTTCCTTTGATAGATGGTCTGACAATCTAGAAATAATCTTTTAACCTGCAGGTGTTGATTTTTCTTTATTAACTGTTTATATTAGATTCTTATTGAAGCAGCATCCTCTTTTTTTCTTTTTGTGTCTTTCCCGCTGTCTTTATATCTGATTAATTTGCTCTTTCCAGCTAACAGGGAAATCATATGACCTTTCTTTAAAGGGCAGTCCATACTGGATGGCTCCTGAGGTATTTGATTGCTTGTATCATCTAGATTTCGTTTTAAATGGTTGAGGCATGTCCTTACCTACCCTGGTTTGTCCGTCAAAGGTCATGAGGGCTGCCATGAAGAAAGATGACAATCCTGATCTTGTCTATGCTGTTGATATCTGGAGCTTAGGTTGCACTATCATAGAGATGCTGACAGGAAAACCTCCCTGGAGTGACTTTGAAGGGGTGAGTACCTTAGCACCTAATTCTTGTTCAATTCACCTGTAATAAAGTCTAGTGTATATTTGTTTTGTAGGTTTACTAGAATAGTGATAAATTTGATCATATCTATAACCGTATGGAAGAGTTTGTAATATTTATTACAAGGAGGATTTTTTTGGTGACTTTTACTATCAGTACTGCCCTTCCCTTGTTGGGCAAATATGTGAAACAAGTATCATGTGCGAGTCAGTCATCCTTTTGAACTCATATTGGTATAGCTTGAAGCAATTATTCTTGTCGACTAAAGACTAAAGAGGGCAATATTTATGCTATATATTTAATTTTTGCTTGCTTGTGGAATTAAAGTTGCATTAAGCTGACTAGAATCATAGGTCAAAAACAATTCTTGCTGAGCAGTGATTTTTATTCTCTCTCAATGATCTGCACCTTCTAGGTCAATTGAATTTATTCTATTATCATAAAAGGTAAAGTGTCCCGTTGAGCGGTCGTTCTTTGTTCAAACCATTTAGTAGATTTGGCATCCTCTTATGACTTACAGACTTAGAAGCAATTTGAATGCCCTTTTGATATTCGGATTCTAGTAGTCTATTTATTTGCATCTTGTTTACCTGTTGATTTAATAACCTAGCTGTGTTATGTACGTCAGCCTCAAGCCATGTTCAAGGTGCTGCACAATTCACCACCGATACCAGAAACATTATCTTCAGCAGGAAAGGATTTTCTTCAGAAATGTTTTGAAAGGGATCCAGCAAATCGACCATGTGCAGCAAAGCTTCTTGAGCACGCTTTTGTACAAAATTTGCATGACCAAGATGCTCTAGCTCGCCCACAATTATATCCCAGAGAAGACCCTGAAGTAAGTGCTAATTATACTCGCATTACTTCATAGTGGACCATGGATAAGGCTCATGGTGGTCATAATGAATTATATCCCACGCTTTCTTGGGATGAACACAAAAAAGAGGAAGAAAAAGATGTGGCATGTGCGGTTCCTCCCGGCGGAAGACATGACTAGCTGACATGTCGTCAAATTGTTTGTTCTTTGTAGGATAATTCACGCAGTCCCAAAGACCCTACTGCACATAAACGTGATGTAATTCGGGCCTCCATCGGCGCACGCTTCTTGAACAAAATCCAGAAGTTAATCGGGTAAAATATTTTGTCTCTATTATCGATCATATGGTTCGAGGTGCTTGATTGGGGTTCATTCTCTTCCTGTTCTGATTTTGACAGTGATTCTTCCCAACAATATACTGCTGAGGATTCTAAATATTCTACATCTCATCACCCTCCTTACTCTCTGCCAGAAGTTAAAATTCCTCAGTCGCCCTTGAAACCGGCTGCCCTCAATTACGTGTCTGCTTCAAAAGCCAGCAACACGTCCCTTCCTGTAATGAGATTCATAACGCACCTTTGAAGGGGAGATTCTTCCTTGCTGATTCCCAAGTGTCTTCGGAAGCTTATTTACCTTCACTGGAGGCTGGGATTTGCAAGCCGCCCGTTCATAGCTGCAAATATATCAATCTCAAGGGGCAATGGAAAGCGAAAAATTCACATTTACTTGTGCCAATAAAAAAATTTGTACATAGTGAGGCGCCGTTAGTTATACCAGCTCTGACGACAATTTGACGTGTAATTATTAATTATTTTTAGGCTAAATTATTATTTTATTTCTTCTAGTTTCCTGCCAACTTAACATCATTACCTATACTTGCGTTCGTTTTTACTTGTATCTTCGTAGTATATGTAACTGTAATATATTTTCCCCCAGTAACTGTAGTCTATTGAAACTCTGTATAAATTGCATTTAACACGAAGGTTATCAGCCATTCTACGTAATACTCCGAATTGCACTTATATCACTACATGCTCTTATACTTTACCTTTCCGTCATTTTATGTGTGCGCACGTAACATCAGTTGAGTCGGTGAAAGGGATCGAATTTATTTTAAATAATAAGATCAGATAAGTGTGTTCATATTTCATAACTTTAATAAAATTTTTAATTCTAAGGCTGATTTTTGAAATCGCTACTCTATAGAAAGCAAAGACCAAATGACAAAGGCTCCAGTTTTGAATATAGTAATTTTTCTGCGAACAATATCATAATCGTTCCTAGAAAATCTATTACGGGCCTTATTTTTGTATATTCTTTAAGTTAGGTGCAGCTTTGTATATTACGGTAAATTTAAAAATTAAGAAATCGTATTCATGACCTATGAATAGTTTTATTTTTGTAAATTTACATGTTAAATTATTAATAATTGATATTGATTGATACTTTTAAGGAGAAAAAAAAGGTGAAGAATGAAGACTGAGCACAGGTAGAAGATGAGAAGAGTTGCTAAAATTTCCTGCAAATTCAAAAATTTAAACGGCGAAAATTTAAATGAAAAATATCCTTAAATCATATTCACAATTCCAGATTCTAGAAAAATATCAATGAAATTCTTCAAGAAAAATTGAAAACCATCTCTAAATTTAAGAATTTTTATATAAGAAAATGAAAGAAATATTTTGCCGAAAAACAAAGAAGTAGGCTGGATTTGGCCCATTGTGAAATAAAGCGACCCCCTAACTTGGATGCTCCATAGCCCATAAACTGACTCGGTTCCGTTGCATGGGGGCCCAGTGAGTTTTGCCTCCATCATTAAAAATTTTGAAGATGTATCTTCGATCTCACTGCCCCTCATTGCGAATTTTCCTTCTTTTCATGATTTTTTGCTCCTTTATTTTCCACCTGAAATCTCCGGGAAAACAACTTCCTTTACTCGACAGAGTGTTCGCTAATTTAAGTTCAGCAGATGGGGGCGAAGCCTCAGTTTCCTAGAAGCTTAATCAATAGGATCTATGCTCCGTTGGCTGATGACATTCATTTTGCGGTCCCTATTTCCTCCTTGAGAACCAGCGAACTTGAACTGGTCTAGTTCTTTCTTTCAATTTCCTCAATTTTAGAGTTTGGCCACGGTAGATTCTTAATGGCCGTGATTTCACTGTTCTTGTGTTTCCAAGCTCATTGCATGTTTATTTTTTCTGATACTTCATTAAATGTGTTATTTTTCTCCACCTTATTTTTAAATCCATCACAGGTACGGGGCGTTTTACGAATGTTACAGGGTTTTTCTGGCTCCCTCTTTTTTTGGGACCATGTTGGAAACAATTTTCGTGTCAAAAGTGGAATATACCTGACTCATCTGTCTCAGAGAAGTCTTCACTCCCTCCTTAATCAATTCATGCATGCTGCAACATGTTTGCAATTGGTGGAGATCACAGTAAACAAAGTTGAAAAATCTGTTCCAAAACCTCCTCCCACTTTAAAGGCATTTGTGTGCTCGGCTTCGGCCTGGCTTAAGGTTTGTTAACGACAATGTAGAGATGCTCTTCGATAAGTGCTACTTTCTGTCCCCTTTTTCTTGAAAAAAAAATTCAATTTGTGTCAAGCAGCGGTTGCGGAATATTGCCTTGAAGGAGGAAATAGCCATGAGCAATGTTGATGGCACAACCATTCCAACCTTGTTAGGATTGGCAAGTTCTTTATCAAGGTTTGTATTTGTTAAATTGATCAACTCTAAGAATTAGGATTATGTTTGCATATATGCTAGCTTGTTTCCTGGGCCGTTATCTTCCTGGAATTTTCAAGCACTGTTGCTTAAGGTATTCGTCATGTTTTCTTGGTGACTGAAGCCCTCTGCTCCTCTGCCAGAGTGCGGCAAAAAAAGGCCAAAAAAATTTTTTTTCCCGAGGTTTACAGTGTTTCAAAAGCAACATACTAATCGATGGTATCTGATGGTCATTTATTGATTTTAGTCTTTGCTCGGGTGGTGAGTACCTGTTGCAAATAGTATACGGGACGATACCCTCAGTATATTTTGAGATTGGTGCATCCATACCAGCAGCAGAGTTGGCTGTTCATGTGCTTGACTATCTTTACAAGAAGCTTGATGAAATTTGTCTAGTGCAAGGTGGTGAGGTCGTGATTACTTGTCCAGCAGCACATTACATGTTTATTGAAGTGTTTCTCCTAGTTCATCCTGTCACACAAAATTATGTTCATCTCAGGAGGAAGCTTATCATATGGTGCTCTATATGTTTGTGGGAAGCTTATTGCCATATATTGAGGGCCTTGATTCCTGGCTTTTTGAAGGAACACTTGATGATCCTTCTAATGAGGTAATCATTATTGAATTTCCTAATTTATTATCCTGGAGAGAGAAGAAGTTCTACTCACTTTTTTAGTCCTGAAAGCCATAAAATATATAAGTCATATATAATTTTAGATTGAAGCAGCTAGTGCGTCTTTGAACTAGTGTTGAATTTCATTATGTGTGGCCTTGGAAATACTTCCATATTTAATTAACCAGTAATGATGGAGCAATTTCTGCTGCTAGAGTTTTCTAGTGATGCATTCTGTTTAAATGCCGTGTTGATACTCGGTCTCATTATCTCTCTTCAGATGTTCTTTTTTGCCAACAAAGAGGTCTCAGTTGATGGGGCTGAGTTTTGGGAGAAGAGCTGTTTGCTGAGACTGTTGCAGCATAGCAAGCTAGACGTTGAGTCCTCTACCATAAATTCTGCTAGTAATGATTCTATGCCAACACCAACTGACAGGAAGGAAATGGGAAGGAGGGATTCTGTTTCTTTGTCTGGCACAGTCAAAGGCAAAGAGCATAGCATCAGAAACCATCAAGCTTGCCCTTATTTTATGAAAGATTTAGCAAAGTCAATAGTTTCTGCCGGAAAGTCATTGCAGCTAATGCGGCATGTCCCTATGAATTCCTTAGCCGTTTATAGTAAAGGAAGTGATTGTGAGATTGGAAGTACTAGAGATCTAGAGAGTAATTTGTATGGCTCTCAGAGTATCTCTGGGCTAACCCTGTCAGAAGTGTTTTGTGTATCCCTGGCAGGACTTGTTGGTGATGGCGATCATATCTGTAAGTACTTTTTGCAAGATGACTGGCACAAATATGATGCTGTGTTTTCCTTTGCATCTTGTGCTAATGAGCAAGATGCAGAAAATGACTTTAGCGAGAATTCACCTGTTTTGCCATACTTGGAGAAAATTTGGTACAAGTTCTTGTCTGATACATTATTGCAGAAAAAATCAGCCGTTTCAAATCTGAAACAGAAAAACATAAATGATAATCACACAAAAGACCAAGGAGAGGCGAGAGATCTTGAGCATGAAATGATTCTCTGGAGATCATGCATAGAAAATCCTGTAATCACTCCATGTCAAACAATCCTCAGAAAGAATAGGGCTACCTGGAAAACATTGAACTTATCTCAAAATTTCTGCCTGCCTGCCTTAAATGATGAGATTCTGAGAACGGCTATATTTGCTGGAGATACTAAAGCATCTTCTGATAATGAAGGAACAAACTATACTTGTGGTTTTCAGTTCGGTGAATCTGAATATCTTCGTTCACAGGACGAAAGAAAACTATTGGAAATGCTGTTTCCATTTCCTGCCCTTCTGCCTTCATTTCAGGTACTGCTATTCCCTGGCCAGCTTTATATGTAGGTTTTGTGGCACAAACTGAACTTGTATGTTTTTTTGAACAGGATGAACTTCCAGTATCAGAGCTCTTACCTTTCCAAAGAAACAGCACTCTTCCATCTAGAGTTCTTCTTTGGATGCAAAATATTGACCTGCGAGCTACTCCACCTCCTCTGGTTATTATGCAGCACTGTCTAACAGCCTACATTCAAAAGCAGGTAAGTTTAATGAAGATAGTTGATGAATCCAAAATGACCGTACTATGACAATGCTCTGCATAATAATCCATTTCAAACAAACAGGTGGATTATGTTGGAAGGCATATTTTATTAAAGTTAATGGATGAATGGAGATTGATGGATGAGCTTGCAGTTCTGCGTGCTATTTATTTATTAGGTTCAGGTACTTGTCAATTGATGTAAAATTTTAAGCTAGCTGCTGTTTATTGTATATTAAATTGAATTTTCTGTCTGTTTTATGTTTGGTAGAAGTCTTCTCAATTTCTCTGTCTTCTGTGCTGATACCTTGCATGGATAGGTGACTTGCTGCAACACTTTTTGACTGTCATTTTCAATAAACTGGATAAGGGAGAAACGTGGGATGATGATTTTGAGTTAAACACAATTTTACAGGTATGTTTTTTGAACGGCTATTCTCTTCCTTCTGCATTGCTATTATTTTTAATTCTACGTGGAGGCCGCATCTAGCATCAGTGGTAATTTATCCTTTGGCTTTTTTCCAGACATTAAATTATATTAAACGTCATCCAATGGTTCTAATTCTTTTTAACACTTATTATCATTTAAATGCTTAATATGCAAAAATTGTAGGCAATATATTTTACACGTTTGTCCAAATGACAATTAGTGAACAAATTGTAGATAACATGTGATCTGACTTGTCCTGTATCTGATGAGGAGATTGCTCATATTGCATTGGCTTGGTCCAAGGAGCTATATACTACATGAATTTCTTATTCCTTTTATTATGCCATATGAAGAATCCTTCTATGAATATCAAATGCAGGAATCAATCAGAAATTCTGCTGATCGCTTGCTGTTAAGCACTCCAGATTCATTGGTAGTGTCAATAACATATAGTCTCAGTGTTGACAGTGATGAGCAACCAGCCACAGTTTCTACTCCCCGTAAAAGTCATGCTCATAGCTTTGGAATTGATGGCCTTGATATGCTGAAATTCACATATAAGGTTAGCTTTTGGCCTCTTTATTTTTTTAAACTGACTATTGTTCATGACAGTTTTGAATTTCAACTTAAAAAAATGAGTAAATAAGGAAATTAGGGTATATTGAAATTGGCAGGTCCCTTGGCCTCTTGAACTCATTGCCAATACAGAGGCAATTAAGAAGTACAACCAGGTATCTGGCGTTCCTTTTTGTTCTATTAAAAGTTCTATTTACCATTTTTGTTCTTGCATTCTGGTTTGTTCTTTCATATCTTAATTTGGTCCCCATCCCTTTCTCTTTTCGTTTGAAATTAAGGTGATGCGGTTTTTGTTGAAAGTCAAACGAGCAAAATTTGTACTTGATAAAGTGCGGCGATGGATGTGGAAGGTAATTCTATACAGTTCTTCCCTTGTATCTGGAGTTTCATCATCCTCTCCTCATATAAATCTTTATTGAGGATGACAGTCTATTTTTTGTGTTATACTAAATTTTGGACACCATCTGATAGGCTGGGTTATGAAGAAAAATAAAGAGAAATTCTACTGAAGATAATAATGCTAGAATCTGAAAAGATCACTTGCTTCAATAAACCGAGAATTTCCTCATACGAGGTCAAATAAATCTCAGGCTTGCCCCATAATACATCACGGCTGTTAGTATCTGCACCTAAATTACAGCATAATAACTAATCATACTGCACCTAAATTACAGCATAATAACTAATCATAAACTGCCACAATAACCGCAAAAACCTTCTTACATTGGCTTAAAGGTAGCCATATTCCCACGTTCCCACTGCTTCCTTCCGTCCTTGTTCTCTTTCTCTCTCTACTGAAAGTGGTCAAGAGTTGTGGGATCCCATCACCATCTATGGTTTTGTGACCCTATCTTGTTTTCACATTTTACAGGGTAGGGGATCTGCAGCAAACAATAGCAAACATCATTGGTTGGTGGAGCAGAAACTCCTCCAGTTTGTGGATGCTTTTCATCAATATGTGATGGATCGAGTAAGAAACTTACCTGCGTGTACAGTATTTAAGATAATTGGAAAGAATGGTTGCTCGTGAAGAAGACTATATGCAAATTGCAAAGCACATATGTCTTTTTATTCAATCCAAGCACATTATTCTTGAACCAGTGGTATTTGCAATGCATATGTTTCCTCATAATCTAGTTGTTTACAGAACACGTGCGTCTTACCTGTCAGTACGCTTTCTATGCAGGTATATCACAGTGCATGGCGGGAACTATGTGAAGGTATGACCGCAGCCAAATCTCTGGATGAAGTCATTGAAGTCCATGAGGCTTACATGTTGTCAATTCAGCGGCAGTGCTTTGTGGTCCCTGATAAGCTGGTAATTTATTGTATCTCCTTCCTTTATTGTTTATGTTTTACATGCATGGACAGATCAAGTTTTGATTGGTATAATTTATTTGCATTGGTCATTTATGAATGTAGTGGGCTCTGATTGCCAGCCGCATTAACAGCATCCTTGGCTTAGCTTTAGATTTTTATAACATACAACAAACCCTAGGCAGTGGGGGAGCTGTTTCTGCAATCAAGGCAAGGTGTGAGATGGAAGTGGACCGAATAGAGAGACAGTTCGATGATTGCATTGCTTTCCTCCTCAGGGTAAAAGCGATTTACTCTAATACTGTGATTGCCACATCTTAGTTTTGATTAAAACATGGATTTCTTGTGCTCAGACTCTGATCTGTGGGCAATACATCTTCATTTGCGTGCATTTGCTCTCTAGTAACTACATTCAACGGAGAAAATTTTTTTGAAGGTTGTAGGAACTTACGATTATACACCTCAAGTTATTGACTCTGCAAAGACATGCTCATATGCATTGTTTGCCTGCCTAACAAATAGTGTGCATTGGGGCTTGAAGGTTAACTGATTTAACACTAAGGTGCTCTATAGAAGTACAAATTGTGGAATTAAAATATTGAGTTCATTTCGTTGAGGTCACAGCATTACATTTTTACTTAGAATTTCATGTCCTTGTGGAATGTAAAACATCAGCTTAAGTAGACCTCCGGTGTTAATAATATAATTCTTATCCTGGCGTTGCAGGTCTTATCTTTCAAACTCAATGTGGGGAACTTTCCTCATTTGGCTGATTTAGTCACCAGAATTAACTACAACTATTTCTACATGTCTGCTACTGGAAATTTGAGGACTGGCTCCGGCTCTGGCAGTGTTACTTCAAGATCAGGGAAGGCCTCAGATAGAAATTGATTTAAGTCGGTTGGCTATGATATTTCCCTGAATATGATTACAGGTCTATGCTTGGTTTTATGTACAGTATTTTAAGGGAGAAAAACCACGTTTTGCTTGTTCATTCATCATCGGCTAAACGACTTAATGAGGCGCCATCAACTGTCAAAAACGACAGTCGGGTGGAATATAAATTTCTTATCCCTCGCCATCGTAACCTTCAACATGCAGGACATGGCAAAAGAAAAATGTTGCTATCGTGAATCGGATAAAGTTGACATGAAAGTTACGTCGACTCTTGTTGCTTCTTTTCTGATTGTGAAGAGTGGCTGTATGGTACTATACATGCTTAAATTTTAAATGTGTAATGTTTGGCACGATAATTTAAACTTGTATTGTGCAACTGCATGTGCAAGAGGGTTCCTTCTGTGCATCTAATGTGACTTAAATTTTGATTTCAGAGAGTGCATCTAGAGTTTAGAGCGGAATATAATAAAATCATCGTAACGAAGTAGAGGATAAATTTTTTTTTTTTTTATCTGAAAGTAGAGGGTAAATGGAGTAATATGGAGCGTGACATTTTGTTGGAAGGTTGTAACTAGACTCAAATTTTATGCGAAGTAGAATGTAAATAAAGTAACAAGGGCTCACGGGCTTATGTTCCAACAAGTAATAGACTTCTGTGGACTGTATCCCATCGGCCACTATTTTCCCATCCCAACGTGGCCCTCAACTTTCATTTTTCTCTTTCTTCTAACTTCGTTCAAATGCCAAACCCCACGGAATAACGTATAACCTGATACTTTTTATCAATAACGAAAGTGGCGACTGAATGAAATATGAAGTTTTGGGTGAATGGCTTAAATAAATTTTTAATATTTAGACAAACTAAAACTATATTTTTTTTCCATTTAGTTATTTCATGTCTTTTTTCGTTTTACTACCTCCGGTCCTAATTATAAGACCCAGTTGACTTATTTGAGGAGATTAAGGAAGTAAGTTAAGTTAGTTATTTGTAATAAATAAGTATTGTCATTCCTAAAATATCTTTGCTAATTAAGTATATTGGCTAGAACTATCATTATTAGAAGGATTATCTTGAAAAAAATGTATAAATATGAGAGGAAAAATGGATTGGGGTCTTATAATTAGGACCAAATAAAAAGTCAAACGGGGTCTTATAATAAGGACCAGAGGTAGTAACAAATAACATGTGAATTGAAAGATGACTTGAAACCTTGGGATGTGAATTAGCACTAAAATTGATTTACCGTTGATTTTGTACCTTCTGTTTTTAGAATGAATTGTTTTGTATGCTCAATTGAAATCAATTTTTTACTGTTAAAAAGCTTAAAATTCAATTTTTGTCTGCAGTTGTCATCCTGGGAATTAACGCTGGTTGTTCTTTAAAGGGTGTTGAGTCTTTTTCAAATCCATCAATCTTCCTTGGCAGCGATCATCAAGTCGAGATGCTCCCAAAGTAGAAGTTCCAGCGCTTAATTTTGACATATTCAACCCAACAAATTATTTGAAGCCATTCATGACAATACAGCCCTCACCAACCCAGAAATGCGTGTCTTGTCTTCTGGTTTCTGGAGACCTTCGAAATTCCACTCTGTGGATAACTGCCGAACTTACGACAATAACTCACTACTCTTGCTTTCTAGATTTTCGTCCCAAACCCATTTGGGTTATTTTATTGTCTATGATCAATGACCTAATCAATAATCATCTAATATCTCACATTATCACTGAAATTCAACCACACCCATTTGTGAAAAATGTGGACTTGTTTGAGATTCTCCGGCGTCCCTGTTCAACTCCACTAGCTGGCGATGTGGGACTTTTTTCAGTGTATGTGTATAAATATGTAAGACCCTCATCTCTATAACCAACCAACACGGCATCTCATCTCGGTTTTATTATCATTTCTCGGATATAAGTAGACGGAGCCGGAAACCAGAATAGAGGAGGAGATGAAGGCGAGTGCGAAGGTGGGAGCAGTTTGGTTGGTGGTGATGGCTTGCGTTGTCACAAAGGGAATGAGCGAAGGCAGAAGCATTGTGGTTGGAGACTCTCAAGGATGGCGTGCCGGCACTAACTACACCGACTGGGCCGTCCAAAATAGCCCCTTCCGCATCAACGATACGCTCGGTCTCTGCTCTCTGCTCTCTATTCTCTACCAACCGATCACACTAAACTTACTTCCCTTCATAATCCACATCATAAAATGAATTTTGCTTATGATTATAATGTTTGGGTTTGGTTGCAGTGTTCAAATATCCTCCGCCGGCGAAATGGAGTGCAGCTCCGAGCGTGTACTTGATGCCGGACTTGTGGAGCTTCGTGACGTGCGATTTCAAGGAGGCCAAGCTGGTGGGAAGGCCGACCGAGGGAAGTGGGGAGGGTTTTGAGTTTCAGCTGAATCGGTGGCAGCCTTACTACTTTGCTTCTGCCGACGGCAGTGGCTACGACTGCATCGCTGGTCTCACCAAGTTCGTTGCTACTCCCATGAATTAGCCTCCCTCCCTCTTGGCTTTTCGTTTCCCAAAATAACGCAACCCAAACATATTGACATATCTATGTCTACCCATATTAATTCCAATAGTTTCATCTCTCCCATTGTGTGTTTGCTGGCTTTGACTTTAGTTGCTTTTGCCAAGCGTGCTTTGTTTGTCGACTACCCCTAACCGTATGTACTCCTTTTCCTTCAATTATAAAACTATGAATTCCTGGAGATATAGCATAATAGTGGTGTTCTTTTAGTTGCAAGATCGTCTTAACAATTCCCCCCACCTTTTACTCTTTCAAGCTCTTCAGTTTTAAGTGTCTCAATCATCTTAAGAAGAAGTTAAAAGTTGGTTATATTCAATCTTGTCAAAAAGAATTCCAATATTAACATGGTACTTGTTAAGATCTTATATAGGCCCCGTTTGGCAAAGTAATGAAAATTTCCCATAAACCCATTTCATATAAGTCGGGATAAAACTCTTCTCACATACTTGCCTCGTATTCCGTAAGTCACTATTGAAAAGCTACTTATAATACTCCTCCGGTCCTTAATATAAGACCCAATATTGAGTTGGTTTTGGTCCTAAGTATAAGACTCATTTCTCATATTTATCAATTTTTTCTAAATTACCCCTATGGATACTCCCTCAACCATAATCAAGTGGAAGAAGAAGAGGGGATATTAAGAAAGATGATTATGGTGTTTTAGAAAAAAATGTGTCACATTTCTTATAATTAACTAACTTACCTAACTTCTTTAATTTAATCAAATTAGTTAAATGAGTCTTATATTAAGGATCAAAGGGGTAAAATCAACATCCCAGAAAAGTAGTTTATTAAATATCGAAAACATGACATAATAATATTTTGAGGTTAAATTATGTTTTCCAACACTTTATCTCCTCAACAAATATAATGAAACTTAATTCAGAGCAACAAACTAATGTAACATGTTCGGAGCGCGCGAATAAAAGCATATAATATGCTTAACGTTTATTTAGAACTTACATATATCAATCTGATTTTCACCTGTTTATTTAAAACTCCATTCACGTTTATATGAAGTTCAAAGAATAACAATTTTCACATGGCGCTTAATCAACCATCAATTAATTATTTGCTCGCGCATAATTACCTTTTTATATCAATCAACTAAATCAATCATAGTCATTTTTTAGAAACAAAAATATAAAAGACAGCAATTGATCTATAAGTAAATTTAATTTTAATCATATCACAGCTAATTGGTGATTGTTTTGTATCAATATAAACACGAGAACAGGAAAAATATTTCATTTTAACAGTTTTCAATTGTATGATTTGCATTCCAAAATCCAAATCCATCAAAAACACAAGTCATCATTATATAAATTGAGAAGTAATGACGTGAATCCTGTGATTATGAGACTTATAATCTTGTTGGTATTATCACGTCAATCATTTCCTAAACCAAAAATATTATGTACTCGACGTTATTTTTCTATAAGATGTTCCAAACAGGCTCGTTAATAACATAGGACCGAGTCAACGATCTTCATTCCCAATTAATTATACCTTTATTATTATCATTTCTATGTCTGATAAACATTGCCAATTCAAGCTTGATTTGGAGGGATTTTGTCCAATATCGACCCCTTCAATAAACATGCACATATATCAAAGCCCCTCATTCGGTCTTATTAACATCAATCCAATTTAAGCAGAGGCAGCGGGAAATCAGAATAGGGGATCGGGGGAGGGTGGGATCAATTTTGTCGGCAGCGATGGCTTGCGTTGCGAAAAATGGAATGAGCTAAGGCAGAAGCATTATGGTGGGAGGCTCTCAAGGATGGCGTGCCGCCGGTGCCGGCACTAACTACACCCACTGGGCTATCCAAAATAGCCCCTTGTTCGAGGGCCTTCTCATAGCCTCTGAATCGGAAGCCTACTCATCAGTTCTCTTTCACACTTCATATCACTAATGCGTGAGTCTGCATTGCAGTGTTCAAGTATCCGCGCTCCGCCGGCGAAATGGAGTTAGCTGAGTCGGCGGCGGCCTTATTACTTTGCTTCTGCCGACGGCACTGGCTGCGACTGCCTTGCTGCTCTCACCAAGTTCGTCGCTACTCCCATGAATCAGCCTTCCTCTCTTCAACATGTCTTACTGTGCATATCCATATTAATTCCAGCAAGTTTCTTCTCACCCATAGTCTGTTGCTGGCTTTCACTTTAGTTGCTTTTGCCGCATGCTTCGTTTATGTCGACTAAAACTATGTGCTCCTTGTCCTTCGATTATGAAACGATGGTCCTTGCTAAGTAAATCATGTTTAAAAAACATGGCATAATATTTTGAGGATAAAATATTTATTGTTAAGTAAGATATCTTTTAAAGTGACTAATATTAAGTACAAATATTATATCCTTATACGAAAGTCAAAACGAAAACGAATCAGTTCAAAGAACTCTCTACTGAGATCTCAAAAGTCAAAACAAATGCACGAGGTCTGGCGATTTTGCGTTTGTTTTTTTGAAAAAGGCTTACTTTTTTCATTAGGCCCAATCATAATGAGTGTTGGACGTATATGAAGCCCATTATGTTGCCTTATGGCCCAAGTTCAGCAGAGGCAGTTTTGGGCTACCTGCTCTTTTCAGGGGTCTCCCCAACGGCCCAACGCCGCACAAAAACATAAGGGGTGGGGGGGGAATCTGTTGCCGGTCTGGTTGCTCTTTCCTAAGGCTTGTAGCCTAACGTAGTGACGTCGGCAAGGGATTCGTGAGCTACTGTTGTGGCCTTTCTCATGGAAACAAATCAAAAGTCGAAAAATTGTCAACTCAAACTGAGAATGAAATTCTGTGTCTTGGAAAATTTCCCAACAAATTATTGGCAGAGTTGTATCCTCTCTATTGCAAGAATTTGACTTCTGCCAGGTTTTTTTGCTAGGAATTGGGGCTTTGACAAATTCAACTTTCAATCCTGATCAAAGCCACAATTTGCAGACAAGGGCAGCTAGTGGGCGGTTTTAGCCATGCTAAACACTAGAGGTTGCGGTTGACGGAAGTTTGACTTTAAGAAGGATAGAATGCGACTGATGAATTACACAGGCATACGGGCATAACAAAGAGGACACGAGAAACTCACTTCGGTCTTGAATTTTGAGTCCCAAATACTCATTTATTAGCAAGCAAATGAAACTCGAAATAGTGGAAAGAGGTAACAGCACAAGGGGTTAGCAGGATAAGGAACAATGATCTGGATCTAGTGAACTCTAACAAAGAAGATACTCAACTCAGGACCTTGGGCGTCATCGGGATTAATCATGTAGAAAGCTTCGGAATCCTTGGAACCAACCACCCTCTCAAATCTGGCCCTCATGTACGTTATTTCCCCGTCCCCACTTTGTTCGGAGCTCGGAATAACCCCTGCTCCCATCGACACCCCTCTCAAATGCTGCATCACATTCGCCTCTTCCTCGTTCATCTGCTTCCTCCTTATTGAGTAGCCCACTTTTCTTCCGTTGCAATACACCCCCCACACAAACTCTTCCAGCAACTTCTTCCTGTGCGTCTTCGTCTCGCTCTCCAGCGCAATCCTCACCATATCGGACGCCATCTCTTTGTTCAGAGCACTCGTATGCATGGGCAGCTCTATGAAGAACATGGGCATGCTGTAGGGATCCTCTTGGATGGCCAGGCTGACTCTGCCTTTGCGGTGGCCGAAGATGGTGGCGGTGGTCGAATTATCTTTCAGCATAGGCTTGCGGGGTCTGCCCAAAAGCGCCACCATCTTGCAGCCAGAGGTTAGCATAGGGAAGAGCTTCAACACTTTAAGGAGGCCACCACTGGAGAATTTGCTTGTTCGCTTATTATCATCCGCTGAGGTCGGGGTGTGGCGCAGCAGGTACGCTATTCCTGGGGTTTCCATGGGGTTGCAGCTGGGACTGGACCGCACGGATGGCATTCTGGCGTATTAAGGTTACAATTATATATGCTGGAGTTTGGAGAATGGAGATAGCTGTCTGTTGCTGACCCAGCTCATAAAATAGATCGAGAATACATATAGGCGGGGTTCTTGTTAGCAAGCCATTCCTTGATTGGGATGGGACGGGTGAGCAGAGCAGCTGGTGTAATAGAAGCTCTGGCTTAAGTCAATCAGGTAAAAGAAAATCTCGGATTAAAATCTTGATGTGACCAAGTTTGTGAAATGAACAAGGGCTTCAATGAGATGAGGGGAGGCTAGCTGGACCATAGGTTATGGTGATAGTGATTAGTGAAAGGCAAACTAACTTGGAGGAAAAAGAGGGGGAGGAGCATGTGCGTGTCTGGTGATTACATATGGTATGGGACAGCATCAACGTCAGTTGCTTTATGCCTTTTTCCAGGCCCCCTTTGCTCTAATTATATGAGATGCAGCCCACCCTTCCCGCAAACATTTCATCTGCTGCTTTTTCTTCTCTTGAGTTCTAAATATAATATTTATGTTGTAATGTAAATTACACTATAAAATGAGTTTTATATTTAGTATGGAAGGGACTATAATATATTAGTACCTTTCTCTTTCCCAAACACCCTCTTTAATTACCTGCCTGCCTTTTTAATTTGTCAGATCATATGTCCTTTTTCGCTGAAGCTCCACTTTTTTTGTTGTCATTTTTTTCGTATGTATGTTATTTCCATTTCGAAATTCACGCCTTGTGCTGGCAATATGGACACCTACAGCATGCATGCCGCCCCTTGATGAACATAACACCTGGCACAGTATTACAAAATATTAAACATGGGAGAACATAACTAAAAACGACGCAGCAAGTAGAAATAATACAATTTGTATTTGTTCGTGCTTACCGATAATGTGTGGAGCAGATGCCTTTGCTGTCCCAACTGGGAAATCTCTGCACCAGTGTCAAAGGAAGACCCACTACAAAACTGCATCAATCTGCAGTACCATGAGAGTTTGATTCCGACGGCCAAAAAAAAAAAATCTATTTATTTCTTCTTGTTCGGGCTCTCTGCCCCTTGTTCCTCTTGTCTATCATCGCAATATGCTCACCAAGTTTCCATATTTTCGATTTATAGGATTGAATGAATATTACAGGCCACTGTTTTTTTTAGAATTGGATGCCCCTCATTTCTTTGCTCTGAACTGTGGTTCGTTTTCTTTCCAGGAGAAATATTATCTCAAAACTGGGCTAAATTTTGATATTGTTAAAAAATCATCACTGGAAGGACGAGAATAGACTGGGGCCTGAAAATTATTGAGGCGGTGATGGGATGGGTGATTGATTCTGTTCAATTTCTACATTGATTTTACTTGTGTCAACGTGACAGCCTGATAAACTGCTCCATGCTTGTGGCTTATAATGGAAGATGCATACATAACAAAAGCAATGTTGGCTCTAAAACAGTGTTTTGTTTTCTGGAGGGTGCGAGAAACTCATCTCAGCAGACAGTGAATTATCATTCCTCTGGAAGTATTGGATAATGATGCGGTGCTTTCTGGCAAAGTTTAATTCACTCAAAGCACTACCAAAAACTTGACCTTCAAAGGTGAATGGACAGCACTTGCGAGTTTTACAAGAGGTCGTCGACACTATAATTTCAACTTCAACTTATGTCAGTTGTTCAGGAAATTCTGGCCAAACGCAATTCTGTTACATGAAAGATCAGGCATAATGCCACTATCACCTTCCGGTTGCATCGTGTTCACAAGATATTGACACATTAATTAAAAAGATTAAAAAAAAACAAATGACTCTGCTAGTTAACAAAGTTAGCTGTTTAAACTAACAAATCACCAAGTAGAGTCATGAAGGATGATCGTATTCCCCAATTTGGTTTCTTGCAGTAATGAAATACTCGTGCCGTCCCTAAAATTACCAGGCAAAAACTTTTTAGCTTTTCCCAGGGGACCTTAAAAAGTGAATTTTATTATGAGTTTTGCCCCCATGGAATGGGCTTGGGCCTCTCATTAAATATATCTGGAATGGGCTAAGTCCAATTGGAGTTGTTTGTCTATAACAATTTCTTTCAAAAGTCTAATGTGTTTGACCCGTCAATATAGAAAAATATGGGTCTTATACTTATACTACATTAAAAGTCAAGGTTAATTTTTATACTCTTCCGATTTAAATATAAGATCTATTTTATAATATAAAAATAAGTTTTATATTTAGGACTAGAGAAATATTAAGGATTTAAAATTATTGATTAGTAATTGGGTTCAGGTACAATTTTGATCCTGATATTTTTTAGGTACAATTTTAACTCTAAGGAACAAAAATTGCACCTCAAAAAAAAAAAAAGATGAAAGTTAAAACTTCACTTGAAACAATAGTAGGGGCAAAATTGCATTACTAAAATATCAAGAATAAAATTGGTGAAAATTATACTTTAACCCTATTAATTTAAAAGGTTATTATATTATTTTGACCCATCAAAACAGTTGCCGCTTCTAGAAGTTGCCTAACGGCAGAGGAACGTGACATTTAAATGGCAGTACTTGTATGGTTCCTCGCAAGCATATATATTACTCCTTCTCCTTAATATAAGACCCATTTAACTAATTTGATTAGATTAAAAAAGTTAAGTAAGTTAGTTAATTATAAGAAATGTGACACGTTTTTTCTAAAATGTCATAATCATCTTTCTTAATACCCCTCTTCCTCTTCTACTTAATTATGGTTGAGGGAGTATATCCATAAGATAATTTAGAGAAAACTGATATATGAAAATAGATCTTATATTTAGAACAAAAACCAATTAATAATTGGGTTCTATATTAAGGACCGGAATATATACCAAATTTCCCTTTCACATGGTATATACTACAAAATTTCCCTTTCATGTTTTGGCAATATATATTCCCCGCTGCGCGCCGGCACTGCAATTAATAATCTTTAGTTGATAATTATATGGAAAAAAATTAGTGTTCTACAAAAAAAATGGACAACCTGTCATGTTTCATCTTATCTTATCAAAAAAGGGAAAATTTCCTAACCTGAGCAAGATCTGTTATGGCCTTCGTGCATATCCACACATATGAAATATTAAACCAGAATATAATTCCATTTAATATTCAGGACGACATGGACGTTCGAGTATCCTTCAGTTTTGGCTCTTATTTTATCTTAAAACCTTGTTTTCTTAGTCTCCAAGCATTGCATTGACAATACAACTCAGGGATTCGGTTCCGTGCATGAAAAAATCAGATAGGCAATGATAACAGTAACAGATAAGATGCTGCATGTGTATAAATTTAAAAAAATAGTTAAAATTTGTTTATATTTTAATGTTTTGAACTATCATCAATATTCACTGATTAAATAAAGTTCTTTAGTTGATTAATTAATTTTCAACACAGTTAATTGATTATTTACTAAGAAAAAAAAATATCAGAACAATATACCCGATATTGGGCGAAAACAATTAAGGCGCGCATGACCTCCCCCCCCCCACAAGTCATGACTCCAGCAAATTTTAGTCCCCTTCAGTTAGTGCCACTTCTAATTTTTGTTTCGGTTTTTTATTTTATTTTTCCACATGTAACAAGAATACACAAAAATAATACCGCAAGAACTCATATGATCGGCTACAAGCGTAGTTAGCAGGTAAAATGCTCAATGCTGTGCATATATACTTGTATATAATTACACTTGCATGGATAAAAATCCAGTTTACCAAATCTCAAACCCACTCTAAAAGTAAAATTTGGACTACTCGGACCACGGACTAGGAACCCAGGCCGGGGGGGAAAAAAAGGAAAGACCTAATGCGAAATTGAAGAAGCAGGAGAATAAGTTTATAGAGGGGGATTGGAGAGGATGAATTATCCAATGTGCGATCCCAATCCGGCAAGCCTGCCCAGTATGCCCTGTTTATAGGGCAAGAAAGTTTTCTTCTTCAAATCTTGGGACTGGGCTTTCTTGATGGCGTAGTGAAATTCATGGGGCGAAATGGGTCCCCTTCTTGAGGACCCACTGGGGCTGTCGGTCGAGGACCTGGCATCTTCAGGTTTCTTATACAAAGCTGAGTATTTCCTCAGCGGATCTTTGCTGGAGCCTTGCCCTTCGGATGCGCTTCGGAAAAGCAAGAAATCTCTTAATTTCCATTTCCTAGAGCTCTTGAAAGACGATGAAGATTCCTCTCTCGTGCCTTGATGTTGATGCTGTGGACGTCGCTGTTCATGTTCTTCACCCCATGTATGCTGCGAGACCCTGTAAGGAGAGTGGGATCTGGCTCCTCTCCTACCCGAATTCGACGGAAGCAACCCCGCCGGCGTTCTGTCTCTTCCTCGTCTCTCTTCTAGTGGCTCTCTGTTCTTTTTCTGAGACAAGACATGGTCAGCACCTTTCTCATCCCTATTAGACACAACCGGGCTTTTTGAAAGACACGGGAACATGTCACCCTTGAAGGGCTTGATCATGCCGCCATCAAACAGCTCCTCGGCGGTGAGAGACGCAGCATCTGATTCCTGACTGACAAAGAACGCAAAATCATCGTCACCCTCGTTCGGCTTTTTGGATGGAAGAAGCAGCGGATGGAGCATCGTTGAGGGTGAAGAAGGAGTCGAAATCACGATAAAAGTCATGAATTCTGGAGGGCTGGAGGGAGCGCTGGAGTAACATTCAGCAAAATGTGGAGGCGAAGACATGTTGGAAATCATCACTTGCATTTTTCCAGTCGTAATGTTCTTTCCAATGAAGAGACCGTTTAAGCTTTCTGGTCCGAATCAAAATATTTGTATGACAGATGCGGGCATTTATGAGAGGTTATAGAGGGACGAAGGATCCAATGAATAAAAATAGAATAAAAAGAGCATGAAGTGTGTGGCAGACCGTTGACATGAGGAATGTAGGATATGGGAGCTGCCTTTTCATACCGTTGCTGTGTGAATTCAACTAAACCAATTTTTGAAGAAAATTTAATCAATTTAATACTCTACGCTGATTACTCCCGTACTTTCTAGAGGATTTTGATGTCGTGGCGCCATGGGCAAGTGGTTTTTATTTTTTATTTTTTTTCCTTCGGTTTTTGGTAATGCCGTGACAAAAGAGGGCGGAGCATGTAATTTAGCCTCGCTAGCTTGACTCTGACCTTAAAATTTAGCTCTAGATGCAGTCTTAATTTTTTCAGAATCAGTTTCAATACTCATCGTATTGATGAATACTATAAACTCATTAAATCTGAATTGTCTATATTTGATTTGCATTGTTTATGTTTAAAATTTCTAATTAATTATTTTTATATAAAAACTTTTTTTTAAAGAATGATAGTTAAAGATTATCTCTATTTTATATTCTATGCATATTAAAGTAATTACTTTAAACAAATAACAATAAAAAAAATCAGATTCAAACCATCTAAATAAAATATGATCCGTTCAGATCTAATGAGTTTGGGTCTCATCAAAATGATGAGCACCGAAAGTGGTTTCCAATTTTCTCTCCCCCTCCCTTATTAATTCACTCATAACGAACAAATTATCGTAATTATCCTCATTTTCTTCTCATCCATACCAAATAAAAAATCATCAATATTAGCGAGGCTTGTTCAACAGAAGGCTTCTAGATTTTCTTGTATGAGCAAAAACCAAAACACGAAGTTCAAACAAATAGATAGCTGTGCTGATATAGTACTGCCAGCTTTGGAACGGAATAGATGCATAGCGTATATTTGGAATGGCTTGGACTGCATTTTCCGGTTCTTAATATAAAAATTAATTAGTTGACTAATTTAAGTAGAGTAAGAAAGTTTTTTTTTTTTTAAATACTCTTACTAATCATATGCACTAGTTAGAACTACTATTTAATAAAAACTTTAACTTGTGTAATTATTACAAGGACTGTTTTGAAAAAAATAAATAAATATAAGAGACAAAATGAATTGAGATATTATATTTAGAATCAAATTGAAAATCAAACTAACTCTTACATGAATGATTGAAAGTAATAAGCTGTTTTTCAATCATGACTCACAAAATACGGAATAAGCATGTGAGAAGAATTGTCTCGATTTATATATGATGTACTTAAGAGTAATTTCAATCCTAGTCCAAACGCGTTTTTGTATTCGTCAATCAACATAAAAATAAACAACCTGTGATAACTAACGTGGTTATCCTTGTCATGACAGAAACAAGATGACCCCGACTCGCATAAAAGAAAAGATAGCGGACTCCGTCAACATACAATCACAATGCCATGCCAAGGTAGTGTCTGCCTCATTTGTGGTTTTCATTTTTCGGGCTCTGCCCTCCTTTTGTACCCAAAAAACAGTAATTATAAGCGGTCTGAATCAAGTCAACTCTTTCGGGTCCAAAGAATTTGGATCAGCCCAAACCATCTGGACAGAGAAACTTAAGGCCAGCGAATGTCCGTTCCAATAGATAAGGATTGCCTGGTCAGGGTGAAACTTTTACCGTGAAAGAGGCAACCAGTATCACTCAGCTTGATTAGTCCATGCAACTACTGAACAAGACTAATTTCATATAATTATATTCTTAGGACATTAATTTCGTCAAACTTGACCTGTAGAACCATTTAATCTAACAAGTACGTCGAGTCATGAGTTGAAAAGCATGAGGTAAACGATGATTCGAGGGGAAACTGCCGAGGTTACTTTGGAAACCATTTTAGCTGCTGTATGATAGTGGGAGAGACAGGACCACATTGTGACTGACAAGGACAGATCAATGGGCTTCTTAAGCAGCACAAAGAAAGTGCATGCCACCATGTACAGGTCGATCCTCAGTCCTCACTGTGTGCGTGTCAATGGTAACCAGAGAAATTTGCGTAGGCCTTGCCTCGACTGTTGGCAGTTTTTTTTGGAACTTTCTGCGCCCTTCTGAAGGGCGCACTAACTGTACTAAATAAATATTGTTCATCGGCTTGCAAATGGAGGGATGTGGTTCTGGTTCCATGTTATATTATATACAGCCAAATTTTGCATATGCACTACTTCCTCTCTTCGCTTCTTAATGATCAATCTATTGCGCACATGCACAGTAATCAGAGTTCAGTACGAGTCAAAATTAGTCTATTGCGGAGTGAGATCTTCAAAAGGGGACCATTAAATCTCTCAAGCGATATCACGATTTCTGAGCACCCATATGCAAACACAGAGTCCCCATCTCGAACGAAGCAGACAGGATTTTTTGAAGGATATACCGCTTGACCTTTTAATTTGATTTATACAAATCCATATTTCTTGGATCATACGGTGACGCCTTAGCTTTCTTTACCTAAGAGGAAGATATTCTGCTCAGCGGAGGGAGAACGGAAGGATGATCGTTTACATTCTTTATTCGCATAATATACAAGATTGAAATTGCTAGCCCCAAGATGAATAACATCATGCACAGGAAACAGAAGCAAAATTATGTGCATATCAGATATCTAAAAGTAAATTCATAAGGCAGAATTTGTACAAATTGAGAGAGGGGCTCGGTTTTTCTTTTCTCGAGGAAATTAATGGCTTCTTTCCCAAGTTCGCTTGGCAACTGGAGGCAAATCCAATCCAGCAACGACTCCAGGTCTTTTGCAAAGTCCAGCAAATACCAACTCAGCAGTTTCGGGATTGCAAACTTAGACGTCGAAATTCCAATAGCTGCCTGTAAATACTCTCTTTTTGCCACTTCCAACTCCTCCTCAACCTGGGATGCCGTGTACACTCTTACCTTCATATCACATACTTCATAAATCAGTAACGGCGCAAACCCAAAACCGTAAACCATGAAATCGATTAACTTATTGGTTGGTTTGTTTAAAAAAAAAAAAAAAACTTATTGGTCGGACAGAGAAATGTTGCCTTCATGTATGCGGAACAGTAGATAAAAACCTTTATAAATGAACTACGTAGTCCTAAACTTACTGCAGGAGATGACCAAGTGCCACAACAGAGTGCAAATGTGACCAGGGGCTCTGACAATTCCAGTCCAAATGAGCTCCTTGCCGTCATTTCATGATTCTTCGCTCCCTTGGAAAATGGCTATTTGGCATTTGTCGGGTTAGAAGCTTGTTGAATCTTATATCCCTACCCACACAGAAGCTAGAGATGGATGGGACAGGACTTACCAATTTCAAGTGATAAGGAAGCCTCAAGATGCAGTGTTCTATGGTGGTTGCGCTTAGCATATATCCGCCCACATTTATTGTTGCCTTAGTAACCAAAAAAAAAAAAAACTGTATCACATAGATTATTGATTCTCCAGCGTATTTGTGCTATATTATAACCAAAACAAAAATCCCAACTGGTCCTTATACCTTTCGCATCAGCGCAATCGCCATTTCAGGACTCTCCGGGACGCCATTCTCTATGAATGCCTGAAGCAGAGTGGAACTTTCATTCTTTAAAGTCTTGTCCTTTACATTAATAGATTAATAAGAGAATACAGTGCACCGTCTGAAATAAATTATTACTGAAAATGATAAATATTTAGATTTAGGTAATCCTCAATGCTGTAGATAACTGATGTACCTAACTGACTTACGTTTATCATACAGGAATTATAGATGTTGATCCAGAATGCGAGCTTCTCCTGATAGTTGAGGTTTTCCAAGCTGACACAGGCAAGTTTCCGAAGAAGAAGTCTGCAAATTTTGGGAAACTATAATGCTCAATCTTATAACTGATATGCATAACCAAAGCCTATGAGAGAAGTGATAAGTAGTCTAGTGAGAATTGAACTATGGCCACAAAAAGGAAATGAAGTCTAGTTTGGATCGAACAAGACATACTTCAATCGACTCAGTAAAAACAGAGAATTTGAAGTTCTTTTTGGATTGAAAGATTTGGCTTCAATTGCACATAATTGCTTGTAAGGACCGATATCCCCTTTCCAAACTCAAAACAGATACTATAAGGATCCCAAGATTCTGTTCCTTCAACATAGTTTCCGGTTTTCAGACCCCTTAAGCATGGCGCATCATCTGCGGGGCCAGTATTCTTCACTGAACTCATTCTCAAGAGAATGCTTGATAAACACTTAACAATCTTTTCGGATATTGTATTCGGGCTTTCATCTCCGCCCGGTTTTTCATGCGCACTCGGATTTCTTGTTTCCGCAATTGGCTTGTCATTCAGCCTTGCATCTGGCTGCACAATTAGAGAGAGAAAAAATCACATTTTTTTCACTTTAAGTTTCCTTTAACCTATTCCTATCACACGGCTGAAAATTATTTTTATGCGTACCTGCCTCATTGGAAGACCTCTAAGTTTCTGCACTGATTTATTTTCAGTGGGAAGTTTTATAATTGCAGTCCTGGTCGTTGTGCCTGGACGTTTCGATTTTTTGCTGCTCTTGGAAGAATTAGAACAAGATTGGTTTTCTTTTCCGTGTTTATCCTCTGGCCACACAATCAAGAAGCACAATCCAAGGGGATTACATTCTCTGAAACCGTAGCTCAAGAGATGTTTATGCTCTAAACAGAGACAGTTTAAGCTGAGTCAGTGTAACAAAATACTTACTCGGAAGTATTATAGCAGAATCCGTTTTTGCTTGGGAAAGCGGCTGCATTTTGTCAGGCTTTTCAATTGAATGTGCATTGTTAGAACGAGCTACGTGCTCCATTCTTCTTCTAGAAGATGACATGTACACAGCTTCCTCGTACATGTCCTGTCTCAAATCCACGACCTGCTCTTCAAGCCTTGCGATTTCCTCTTCCAGAACCGCCACTTCCGCCAGCAGCGCTAGAATCTACATGTTTGGAGATTCCAATCAGCACTCAACTTTCTGCCATTCCTCTCTC